GCCCCCCCCTGCTGCGGGCCGCCCGCCGGCCGCGCCGGCCCGAAGTGCTCTGGCAGCTGCTGCACTCTCCTTCCGTCCAGGTACGGCCCCGGCTTTGCTTGTTTGTTGACGTAAATGCAGACTGTAGGCAAAAAAAACCCATCCCAACAAAGTTATTACAAAATGAGCATCCTAGCAAAACGCTAGCTTTATACATTTCTGTTTATTTCACGGGCTCTCCCATTAGGCGGTGAGCGGCTGTTTGCGGCGGCGCAGCCCACCCGCCCCGCGCCCACAGCCCCTTCCTTGAGCGGTGTGAGCTGGGCTCACATGGTGCCACAGGTGAGGATAAGCGACATCGGACTGAAGAAGCTCCCGTGTGTGCCTGGGGTCTGCTCTCCTGCAGGCTACCTTGTCCACCCAGCTGGTGACCAGAAAAAACACCCACAGAGCTCAGGACAGCAACTGGCAGGGGTGACCTTACAGCAACAGATACACTCCAACTTGAGATGTGGTTTGAGTTTGGTTTGGTTTTTTCTCTATGTGTTTTCAGACTGGTTCATTGGGAGGCCCTCTGAGAAGCATGGCTCTGAGATGAGTTTTGAGAGACTTCGGTTGGTTCCTTACTGCTTGTGACCTTAATGCAGCTGTGATTTCTGGAGGGTTATGCTGCGCTGAGCTGCACAGTGCAACAGTGGAAACTCTGGTCTTCGGGAGCTTCCTGACCCTCCATGTCCAACCCAGCGCTCTGCAAACTGCATCGCCTCAAGGGAAACTACACATTGTGTGCGGTGCTAAATCCCGCTTTGGGACCACAGCCACACGGCTGTGCCGCAGAGGAGGTCTGTGAGGGATGCCCCAGCCTCTCCGCAGCCAAGCCCTGCGTGTCTCCTCTCATATGCCGTTGCCTGCAAAGGCATTTTTTCTACATGCCATCAGGCCTGCCAGCAATAGCCAAAAAATCAGTGTTCTCTCACTAGCATGAGCTTATTTTAAGCTTGGCTGAGACTATTTGCGCCTTGGAGGAAGCGGGTGTAACGCTGTGGTACTTAAAGGCGACTAAAACACAGTCTAAAGTCAGGGTAAAGTGAGACATATCATAATAGCTGGCCGAGGGTGCTCGAGCTGTCATCTCTCAGACAATATAACATTATCCTCTGACAGAAATCAGATATGTGACAAAAAAAAGATCAAGCAGAGTGGAGGACACGATGACAGCTGTGTAAAGTTGGAAATAATTTACAGTTTGCACCACCGTAATGAAAATCTAGTGCCACTGTCACAGCACACTCTGCTACCCCATCTCTCACTGAGCAGCAGAAGGGGCTCAAGCAGCATATCCTGCGTAAATGGGAGGATAATACATAGCACTTTACACCTTCCAAGTGCCAAACAAAGGGATATCCCAAAAGGGATAATGCACCGAAAGACGGCAGCAACATGCATGAATTGCGGGGAGCTGTCAAGGTGCAGCTTTCCCAGCATGCGATCGTGCCAAACCTTACCAAATCTGCAGGATGTGGCCTCTGCCATGACAAGCCACTGGTTTTGTCCAGGGCTTGGCTGCGGGAGGGACTCTGCAGCCTGCAGGCAGCGTGCTGGGTCCCTCCCTGGGGAGCGGGGGCTCCTATGGTCCTTTCAGTGCAGACAGGGAAGTAAAAATTGGCTTAAGTCAACTACCTCTTGAAAACCCCGCTCCAGTGGGAGGCATTGTTGGAAAGGTGCTGGTGGCACGGAGACAGGCAGACAGAGGTGTGGGGCACCGCATCTGCAGAGCCCGAAATGACCCACAGAGCCTCTGCCTCTGCAGCAACCCTGGCAATCTGATGGGGCTGTGCCTCCCTGTCTCCCTCCAAAAGTGGCACTGAGCACACATCTCAGGACAGCACTATGAAATACCACTCTGCTGATGTTTGGCAAATGCTCTGCAGTCTTCACATGTGAAGGGATAAATGAGAATAAAATGTATTATTATCGTCATCGTCACTACATTTAGTATCATTCTGCTATCAGAGCAGATGGAAAACTTCTCCTCTGTGCATCCCAGTTAAGAAATAATGGGATTTATGTGTTGTGTTTAGATTCTAATGTTATCTAATCCATTTCTCTGCTGAAATCTCAGGGTAAATCAACTGTCTTGTTGATTTTCTTCTCATTTACATCAGTCTAAAAGCATTGACCTATGTTACTTCTGGTAATATCAGCAAAAAAAGAATAAGGCTGTGTTTTCCCTGACTACAGTCAGAAACGACCAGGTCTGCTGCTGTGATAAGGCGTTGGGGTTTATGTGCTGGTAACCCTGCCTACAGTCAGGCGATGCCTCCTCTGTCCTTCTTTTCCCCACAACTGTAACAGATGTTTCATAGTCACACCGGGGTTTAGTCTGGTCATTGCAACACATTTGATGGTGTAAGTATTGAGTATAAAATGGTAGCACTCGTGAGATGTTGATGTCTGCATTTCAAGAGGAATGGATCTGACATCTCCACTAAACTTGACACATGGCAGTGAAAATACACCCTTGCAGGACGTCTCTGTTCTTTGTCACTGGTCACCAGTCTAATCTGCAAACACCCCATGTTCTTAAGCTCTACCTGTTCTGGAAAGCACAGCACCTGGCTGTCAGCCCATGGTTCACACCTGACTGTCAGCCCATGGTTCCTGCTCACCCCTTGGCCAAGGAGCACTTGAGGCTGGGTACCTGTGAGAGCCTGTGGGGTTGCTGAGTTGGGTATCGTAGCTGCATCCTGGGGGATCGAACTAATATCCGGCTCTGGCGTGCTTCTTGGTGGCGAGATGGCTAAGGGAGTCATCAGGACACGAGACTTCAGCTGCAAAAAACAATTGGTTGGGTAATGAAAATATACACAAGTTAGTCCAATTTTATTCGGTGTATGTCACTCCCCATGAACTCCCTCTCATTAGCAATCTGCTATTGCATCACTTTCTCCAGGCCAGGAGCATCCGTTCTGCTCCCAGGAGGACACTGGGGCCTGAAGCCTGACTGATTTGCAGCAGACAGCAACACCTTAAGTTACGGGATGCAAATATTATGCCACCCACCGGGTGGTTATTTACACTTGAGCAAATTGGGTCTAACACTCTAACAAATCAGCGCAATGGCATTTTACGACCCATTTCATGCGGGTGTAAACAATTCTCCGCACTCGGAAACACGGGGTCTTTAACTGCATCACAATTTAGGGCCAAATTCTGCTCTTCGTTCCAGGGGTGTAAATCTTGTGTAAATCCAGTGGCACCAAGAGGCTACTCTGGGCTGACACCCATGTAAATAAGCTCAGACCGTGGTCCGTAGTGTGTTATTACCAGGTAGTAAATACAAACTGCTGCACTGTTGCACCCAGTAATCTTTGTGACCTGCAGCTCAGCTTGGAGAATTGAAACACGGTGGGAATTTACTGTGCAATATCACTGTGTCTTTATGCTGCCAGTACGTCTCACCAGTCAAGTGATGGTCAGGTCCTCATAATTATAAAGGGCTGATGTGATGGATGTGACCTGAAGGTATCACTCTTGCTTTTCCTTTTGCTATGAAGGGGAGCAGGGGGAAAGCAGAGCCAAGCCCAAAGCTGGCTGGTTTATATATTTACATATACTACACTGAGCTGTTTTTCTGGCAGGGATTTCTTTGTTGTTGTTGTTTTTCAGTGGCCAAAGTTAAAAATGCTGTAAGTGACAAACGTAAGAATGAAAAGTAATCTTTAGCCCTGTTAAATTTGCAGCGTATTGCTTCTCTCAGAGCTTATGCCCAAGCCAGAAATAATGTACAAATTATATTTTATGTAGAAATTGAGCCAAACCACTACCTACAAACCAGACCTTGAGCAAGTCCTGCTGGAGAGTAGAAGTCATTTTGGATAATGATTCATGTTGTCCATGATTATGATTACAACTGCCTAAATTAAAGGTCACTGTTTCAGTGTAATGGTAAACCCAAAAAGCTGGGGAAGGAAGAGGGAAGGCTGTTGGACTTGGTGCCATCCAAGTGAGTTTTTAATCATTAAATCTTTGGGAGTTTGGATCATTGCCCAGTTACTGGCTTATCCCAGCAAGGGTTTCACTAAGAGAGAATTCAGGGTCTCCCTTGTTTTCAGTAGCATGGTAGCCTGTGCTGGTGTGGTACCCATCAAAAAAAATGGAAAGGCCATCTTTGTTGAGATGAGTATAATTTTTGCAAGCCAGACCTCCACCAAGACCTTCCTGAACTTGCTTCTTTACACAACCTAGAGTTTCCCTCAGAGCAGCCTCTGTGGAAAGATGGGAGCAATAAGCCCAGATGGAAATAAAAGCCATCTCCTCATCCAGGTACCATCCCCTGCACGGCACTGCTCGGTGCCTGGGGCAGAGGCTGTAACCTGCTTGTCTCAGAAGTGTCAGGCACCACCTCCATATGGTGCCACCACCTCCCCTCCCTTGGGGTCAGCTAAATCCCTTTGGATTTATCCTGAACAAGGAAGAAAATGTTCAGTAAGTGAATCTAAGACAAACTATGGATTTGACCTGCTTTATGGCAGCTGTGGGTCATTAGGGACCCTGAGCTGGTCTCTGGCTAGTGCGAGTCCTCACCTACCTGTGTTGTCCTGTTTTTGTAGGGCTGTCTTGCCTTCAGATTGAGATCAGGAAAGACCAACAGCAAAGTGCTGTCAGTTTGTTTTCCAAACAATTAATATAAATGAGAGGAAAGGGGTTTATCCCCTGTGAGTAGGTGAGAAGCAGCATGATTTGTTATTTTCTGTAGCAACATGTCAATGGCTCACTTTTCTATAGTGAAGTGGGCTGGCTGGCACTGTGAAACTTTGGGTAGCCCTTATGTTAGGCTCCTGGGCTTGCTTTTGATCATAAACAGATACACATATATAATAAATGCATATATACATAGATGTGTTTATACATAGTACATACACAGATATAAAAGTATATACATTTCTATAGAGATGTACATCACTCAGACATGCATATACCTATATAGACAGTATTTTGGAGACAGCACACCTAATAACTTCTGTTTCACTTGCATGTTGGCTCTTCAAAGTCCTTACTGGCTCATAGCCCTGTGGCCCCAAACACAGGCTCACAAGTCCCCTCTCCAGCCCTTGAGCCTCGTACACTCTCTGAGTGTGTGCTGCACCACCAGCACCATCAGCCTGGTGGAGGTGGGACAGTGCCCAGTAGACCTCTTTCTCCACCTGATCCCTGGCTCTTGGAGGCCCAGGCAGGCTTATGTTCAAGAACAAATAAACAGAGGGCAAGACTTGTGTGAACTCGCTAGCTTGGAAGCCCCTTCTTGGCAATTTGCTGTTTTAGCAAACAGTTTACTGCAAACTTAACTGCAACAGTATGTGCTCCACAGCCTCTGAATACAGAAAAATGCCATTTTATAAGGGGTAGCAGAGAATATGCCTTCATTAGATCAAAATAAAACAATACCTGATTACAAGAGACACTGCACTAGCAAACACAGCTCAAATACCTCCTGACCACTGGAACCCTGAGTAGTCCCCGAACATCACTAAGTGTAAATCTCAGAGTATTTCATTTAAAAGATATCTTTCCTTGGACTGATTCTTCTCTATCAAAAAGCCAACCCAACCAACCAGCTGACTGACTGAGAGCTTGGCAGTAGAGAGCATATAAGCTTGGAAGTGAAAAAAAGTGGCAAAGAAAAGAGAAAAAGAGACAGAGAAAATCTGTCAGAGCACTTTGGGAAATCCTCGTGGTAAGGCATTCAGATCAGCTTTTGAATATAAAATGTCACAGATTTTAATATGCACAGCATGAGATATAAAAGGCAGTGGTTGCTTTAAAACAAGATGTACAACCAACCCTCCCCTACTCTTATGAACCTTCTACCATGGAAAAGAGATCAGAGAAAGCTGATCAGGGATTTAGGGTAGGAAATAAGTGTGTCTACTTCATGAAAGTCACAGTGCATGAGATGCAAAGAGTGTGGCCTTTTGTTCCATAGATGCCAGCTGCAGGCTTGTCTGAGTATGCAGCGGTCACGGATGGGGAGGACCCTGTGGAGTCCTGGCTTATTTGTTACAACCTCCATACCCCTTCAGAGCACTCAGGATTCATCTAGCTGGTATTTCTGTCATCCCACACCAAAAAAAGTGAAAGAAAGGGAAGAATATTTCCCAGATAGCTTTTTTTTTTTTCTTCTGAACATGTTCTCTGCCAGCTTGTATAATAAAATACACTGGAAAGAAACAAAATGAACCACAATGCAAACTTTCCCTGTACTTTTCTTAAACCACTTAGATCATAGGTCCTCATCTTTATGGCTCCTAGTTCCCCTGTACCAGTTGTCCCTTGTTCTGACAAAACATTTGCTAGAAAAGACCAGGGTTCACCCTGTCCCCATGGGCCTGTGTCCTTCCAGCCAGGAGGGCAGAGGCACCTCCTGGCCATGAGAGCTTTTGCTGCTGGAGAGAAAATCACCTCCAGCCCCTGCAGATGTGCACATAGACGTGTGCCGAGGTGAGCATCTGGGCCAGCCTGGTCCTGCTGTGTGGGCTTCCAATGACTGGGGAGAAAGGTGCTGATAAACATGTGCCAGGGAAGCACAGAACTTCCGAGTGCATGTTTTGGGGTACCTGGCTATGCCTTGTGTGCTCTGTGCATTTGGGTGAGGAGGCTCAACACTAGGCAAGTCAGGGCTCAGCTCCGTTGCTGGGGCAGAGGGGGGTCAGCACTGTGCTGGCAAAGGCAAAACACAGTCCAAGGTCTTTTCCACCTTTTCTTCTTGTGTCATCCAATACCTCTCTTCTGCACAGCAAATGATGCAGGGGAGTTTGCATGCAGCCTCCTACATCCCCGAAGCGTTTTGCAGTGAATGAGGCAGGCGACCTTAAGAGGAGCATACATAACCTTGAAATCCAAGGCTATATCACAGGACAGGTGAATAATCTCGTCACTTTAAAGTTGCCTGTGCAATCTTGGTCCCAGTGTGTCCGAATTCTGACTGCTTATTTGTCATCATTAGCGGTGACTTGTAGAGCAGCACGGGAACCTGTGCCTTGCAATGGAAATTGTCACTCCACAGTGTCCTGCACAAGGCGACTCTCGCTGCCCACTCCGCTTGACGGGAGCTGACAAGGTCCCGGCCGATTGCTCACCCTGGGCTGGGGTCACCTCTCCAGGCGGGAGCTTCTGTCGTAGCACAAGGAAGGGACAAACTGCCCCCGGGCTGCTCGGATGGGGCCATTGCTTTGTTGCTTTTGGGAGGAATGTGGCGGTCTTTTCTGCAGTGCTGCCCTGCGCGCGTGTTGCTCCTATGTCCTCTAACACCACGAGTCGCCCCACGATGCTAACAAAGCCTTCCCTCCTAGGTAGCTCTTGGGGCTGCCCCTCACACCCAGAGAAATAAAACCAATCCATCTACTAACTTCCCCCCTGGCTGCCAGAATAGACTTTTTCCTAGAGATTTAGACAGTCAGAAAGAATGTTGTGTTTAGGGAAAATGTAGCATTTTATGGCAAATCGCTCTGCATCCGGTGCAAAACGGTTTTTTGGAAAAACAGCTGATGAAATTTTATAACCATAGCTGTGAAAAAATAAACAGGATAGCGAGGAAAAGGACTTTGCTTGGTGGTGAAGCATGATGAAATGTCCTTTTAGGAAGACACAGATATTTGCTTTAATATCAATGAAAACAGGCAATGGGTCATCTGGCTATAAAGAGCATGTGATTAAAAATGTCTGTTATTCACATCTCGGTCAAAATAAATTTAAATCTAGGCTATAAATTCCTAGTTTGCTAAAAATTCAGAAGTATTTTTCCATCTGTTCTGTAATAATTCAGCTATCTGGTTGCTATAAAGAATTTGGTTGTCTGCCATTTGGGCAGGGAGTCATTTTTTAAAACACGTTTAAGTCTCATGGTATCTGAAAGTCATACCATTAGCGAGCTAATTAAATCAAGCTAGAGTTCCCCATCAAAAAATGTAATCTTTGACTCACGCTGGGGAAGCGTTTTTGACAGAGAGGGGTTCAATTCAGCTGAGCACACAGCGTACAAAGGCACCTCACAGAAAACTTCACTTCTGTGTCCAAATCCTATAGCGCAAATAAACAGCACCAGGCCAGATGCCACAAATGCTACAAGCTTACAAGCATCAGCTCCAGAAATTTCAGCCATCAGTTATAAAAGGATGTCCTTTTCCTTGCCGTCACTCACTGAGAAATAACGTCATCCCAGATTCACTGTCATCACCTGCACGCTAAGACTCTGGGGATGGGGAGGAGGTGTGTGTGGTACCCAGCCGGGGAATAAGCTTCCCTTTGGGTGAAAACAGCAGTCAAACGCTGGGCCACCTAGGTCTGAAGTGGAATGTTATCACAGCATTTTAGGAAGTGTAAGTCTCCCTTTTTGCTTCTCCCGCTTACAAATCCGTGGTGGTCAGTGAAAGGCTTTTTCACAGGTGGATGGGTGAATTTAGGGTGGAACAAAACATATTCCCCAGAGTTGGATTTTTTTTTTTGTCAAAGTAAAAGTCAAATGTAAATGCAGGAGTAAGAAATGGGGCTCAGCAGGACAAGGAGGAGCAGAAGGGATGGGGTCTGCCGAAACTCTGCATACCAGATCATTGTGGTATCTGGCAAATCACTTAATCATCTCAGGGACTCAATTTCACCACATCTCCAAAGGATTATTATCCCAGACTTGCGTGGTTTTGATCTATGGAGCCTACAAGTGACACGGCTTTACTGATAATAATTTAAATTGTTACTTGTAATAAATTAAGTAAAATAAAGATAATAAACAATAAACCTGTAATAACAAGTACCTCAAGTAAAACAATTCAGACATTTCTGTCCCAGAGTTTTGATCTAATACTGAAGTGACAAACATTAAGTATTTCCATATCGCACGTTTTACAAAACACTAAAGCATTTGCCCCAGTCTCAGCTTGGACACGGAGCTCTATTTCGGATGACTGCTATAAAATTCTGCAGTAATCTCAAGAGGGACACCTGAGCCTGCTGTCAGGTTGGCTCTGCTTGGCTGATGCTGTTATATCATTCACGTTACCAGAGTTCAGGCTTTTCAGAAGAAATGGGAAACTGCAGCTGGAACTGTGCCTTAGCCGTGCAAAGTCTGTTTTCGGCAAACACTGAAACACACTTCAAAATGTGCCCCCATAGCAGAGAGGGGTATGGATGAAGTAGGGAGAGCATGGAGAGACACGGGAGAAAGCAGAAGATGAGGAGAAAGCATTAAGGGCTGAGGCACTGCTGGCTACTGCAGCAGGAGTGTTGCACAGCGGGGTGTGGATGAGCAAGGGATTCTGGAAATGGGATGCAGAGGGGCAGTGAGGAGGGCTTGCCTGGGAAAGAGAGAGAGGAAGGAGGAGGGAAGTTAGAGGATGGGAGGAAGAAGAAGGTCTGGCAGGAGGTGAAAAGGAGGGAAGGGCAACGATGAGGGCAGCCTGTGCTAGATAAAGCCCAAACCCAAGCAGCTGAGACATTCAGTCCCTGTGCCTGGAGCTTGGCTGGCAGTGCTGTGCACGGGGCCTTGCTGCCTCCCGTGAACTGGGAGAGACCCAGGGAACTGTCAGGCAACACCCGAGGCTGAGACCTTCTCCAGAGAAGGTTGGGGCCGGCCCTGTACGTGCACCCCTCGTGTTACTGGCTTTTCTGTTTTGACATCAGGAGCTGAGCTTAAGCAGCTATTATTTTCTAAAAGTCAGCAATTTGCCCTCCTTGTGTAACAGACTGCATATCCGTATCTGTTGCCATTAAAAACAAGGAACAGGCACAGCAAACATGCCCAGTGCCCCTAGCTGGCTGCAGACAGAGATGGAGAGAATAACAGAGCAATTTACTGACATCAAGACCCCTCACTACTATGTAGTTCATTTTAGCTCCTCAGAATACATTCCTCTCCCCTCAGCACTGCGGTCCCATTTTCGCCTGGTCTGTGGTGTAACAGTTGCCCCACTCATGCCAGTGCTGAGCCCACCGTGGGGTGTACAGTGGGAGAGCCCCAGCCCTCCGGCAGCTTGTGAAGGGTGTAAGGTGCTCAGGGTTTCTTTCTTTCTTTTTCCCTGCCTCCTCGCCGGGGTCACATTGAGAGCTGGGCATGATTTTCCCCCAAAGTGAGCAGACAAATAATCAAAATTGCCTTTCCCTCTGTAAGTGAAATCTCATTACTTTCTAAAATTTCCTTTTTTTTCCTTTGGAAATTAGCTTTATTTTCTCCTTTTATTGCCCCTCCCCCATATTCCTTTCCTTTTCCTTTCATTTTGTTTCATTTCGTTTCATTTCTAATCACTGTTAGTTAGAGAGAAGAAAAGAATGACAAATGAGAGAAACACTTCCCAGAAGATATGCAGTCATGGAGTCATAGAGTCATAAAATCATAGAATGGTTTGCGTTGGAAGGTTGGAAGGGACCTTAAATATCATCTAGCTCTGCCCCCCCCTGCCATGGGCAGGGATATCTTCCACTAGATCAGGTTGCTCAAAGCCTCATCCAACCTGGCCTTGAACACTTCCAGGGATGGAGTATCCACAACTCTTCTGGGTAACCTCTCCCAGTGCCTCACCATCTCCCACAATACTGTGGGAGACAAGTTATTTTCAAGCAATGCAAATTAAAATAACTGTAAATGTTAAAATAATAGATTCCCTCTATTTTTCACTAGCTCGGTTAGAAGAGAAACCAGTTTCTCTTTACTATTTTTGCACTGCTCTGCCCCATGCTTGCACAACTTTGCACTTCACCTGAAATTCTAGGAGAAAATGTATTAAAACCAGCAAGAGGTGGAGAAGGAGTGTGAAAATCACATATCTACCTTATGCCCAGGTTTTCTCCCTCTCTTCTTTGGGATCTTCACGACCGGCAAAGCACCAGCTGGTGCCGAGTAGAGGTTGTGAACAGCCACTTTGAGGCTGGAGCGGGGGCCGCCCTCGCTTCCTCCCCGCTATTCTGGGGGACGGCATCTCCCCAGCGGCCAGGCTGGGGGGCAGGCACGGCAAGTGACTCATCTGTCCCGGAGCTGCTGATCAACCAGAAAGGACAGAAAAAAAAAGGGAAGAAAAAAAGATATTTTTATTTATTTTCAATTCAAGTCTTTTATCCAAAGGCAGTTTTCTCATGCTGTCGTTTTTCTGTTACTGTTAATCATAAAGCAACAAGAAATATGCCACAGATGCGCACTCCTAGGTGGGAGTCACCGGACCACAGCTGGCTCAGCTTCTCCAAAGCAGGACAAAACCCTTGGCGTGCCAGTTTCTCTCTGCTGATCGTGAATGTGGCACAGGGAGCTGGCTCAGATGGTGAGGTGTCTATTGCAGATGTCTGCTAGGTGAATGCCACAACAGCCACCTTAACCCTGCGTCCTGCAGATAAGTGTGATGATGGCGTGGGCTTGCACCCATCAGTCAGTGCCTGCTTCCAAAGGGAAATCGGAGTAGGTGACCTCCTGAGGTCCCTGCCAACCTAATTTTTTCCCAAATTCTGTGGTTCTGCAAATCCTTCCTCACCTCAGAAGGGCTACCAATACCAAAATGGATTTCCCTCCATTTCATTGCAGCACTCTTGAGCCTGGAGGCTGAACTGGATGACGAGGC